TTTTACCTTGCTCTGAGCACTTCTTATGTTTGCCATGTAAATTCCCAGTTGTAGGACCCTGTCTCAAAAGGACTGAAAAAAAAAAAAAAAAATCACACAGCAAGAGCACTCTGGTCTGGGTCTGGGCTCTGAACTCTGATCCCACAGTTGTGGCCCTGGGAGAAGTAGAAATCAAGTTGTGTGTGTGATTCTCTCTGGGATGTCCATGATCTAATTATGGTCTGGGTGTCCCCCAAAGGTACACGTGGCTAGAAGTTTGGTCCCTAGGTAGTAACACTGGGACACGGTGGAAACATTAAGAGGCAGCATGTATTGGGAAGTCCTTAAGTCATTAGATTCCTGAGACTCACTGATACTTAACAATTCTCTGGAAAGGGTTGTCATGAAAGGAGCAACCCCTACCCCACCAACTCCCTCTGCTTCCTGGCCTGAGATGTGATCTTTTTTTCCTTCACACATGGTCTTCTATCTACCATGTGCCACAGGGGTTACAGCCTGCATCATGCCATCTAGACATTCAGCCTCCAAAAACTGTGAACTATACAAGTCTCTTCCTTTCAAAAGGCTGGCTGCCTCAGGCATTTTGTAGCAGCAACACATGCAGATTAGTAACAGAGCTTCAAGGTCAATAAGCAACATTTGGAGGCCTGGCAGAAAAGTCTAGGCCTGGGTCTGGGCCTGTATGTGTCTGGTAGCAACAGACTTTATGGGCTCAAAGAGAGAGTACAGTCACAAGGGGTCCCAAAGGGCATGAAGGAGGGACTCTATCTAGATGTCAACAGTCTCTAAAATCATCACCATCAACAAAGCTGTCCTCTGGACCCTACTGAACCCTCCACCAGTGCTCTCTAAGCAAGACCTCCAGAAAGAACCATTTGGTTTATCTCCACTGCCTCACCTCTCACTGTCTTGAACCTCGTATGCCAAGAAACTGCCTGTCCAACTGCCAATGATTTGCCCAATCTACCACCCCAGGCACAGACCCATGTACTTGAATGCCAGGCTGGGCAGCTGGCAGGTCCTCATCAGAACCTATATAATGTGAGGCCTCTGTGTCTCCATGCCCCCAGAGTCTTCATGTTCTGGGTAGTTGGTCAGTTGACTGACAACGCTTATCTGTACATTACCCTGCTCCTTGAGGGCTCTGCTGGCAGCCACCCTCGGCCCTCAGAGTACTAGCACATGTAGCAAATGTCAGCCTAGTATCTATCCCCACCCAGCTACTTCCCAGACTCTCTGGGCTCATACAGATGACAGTGCAGACCAGACTCTGAAGGTAGACACCAGAAGCCATTCAACTCTGCTTTCCCCTAGCATGGGCCACAGTGACCAGAATCAGAGTAGGTCCTGTGATTTCTGCCACACTAGGAGAAAATCCAGAACTGATGGCAGGACATCACAGCTCAGAGAATGTTGGGCCTCTCATGCTTCTGCCCTCATGTATCCACAGAGCTCCAAGAGCCCTAGATCATATACCCACACCTATCCTTCCTACTCTTACAAACTCATCTGCTACCTGGACATCTGTGTCATAGTTTTTGATATAATATCTGTATGCATGTGCAGTGTAAGCTTATGAAGTTAGACTCTTCCCTGCTTAATCAGCATTATGTCCCTAAACAAGCACTTCTAAATGAAAAAGCACAAGCAGATGCAGCTAGCAGAAGCCAGAGATGGCATTAAAAGTAGAAGCAGAGCTGGGCATGGTGGCACACACCTTTAATCCCAGCACTCAGGAGGCAGAGGCAGGCAGATCTCTGTGAGTTCAAGGCCAGCCTGGTCTACACAGTGAGTTCCAGGACAGCTGGGGCTACAGGGAGACCCTGTCTCAAAAAGACCAAAAAAAAAAAAAAAGTAGAAGCAGAATGGCAGGCATGGTAGCACATGCCTTCAAACCCAGCACTTGGGAGGCAGAGGCTGGCGGATCTCTGAGTTCGAGGCAAGTGTGATCTACATAGTGAGTTCCAGGCCAGCTGGGGCTAACAGGAAGACCCTGTCTCAAAAACACCGGGGGGGGGGGGTGTGTGGAAACAGAACCAGGGTATGGTGACTCACACCTGTAATGCCAGCACTTAGGAGGCTGAAGAAGAGAACTGTGGTGGGTTCTAGGCTAGCTTGAGCTACAGAGTAAGACTGTGTCTTAAAAATAAATAAATAAGCCCAGCATGGTGATGCATGTCTTTAATCTCAGCACTCAGGAGGCAGAGGCAGGCAGATCTCAATGAGATCAAAGCCAACAGGGTCTACATAGTGAGTTCCAGGCCAGCCTGGGTTGTAGGGAGACCCTGTCTCTTCTCAAAAAGACAAAAAAATAAAATAAAATAAAATAAAATCCAGCCTGGTCTCCATGGCGAATCCAGGACAGCTGGGGCTACAGGGAGACCCAAATAAAATAAAATAAAATAAAATAAAATAAAATAAAATAAACCAACAACAACAACAACAAAAAAAGAGTAGGGCAAGATAAAGCAAAGTTTTAATATGGATGAGAAAGGCAGAACACAGAAAAACTGGGCTCCTTGCCTAGGAGGAATAGAAAAGCTAAGCCCTCAGATACATGGACCAGCTTTAAAATTAGCCAGGGTTGGTGGGGGAAGGGGCTCCTCTGAAAGAAAGAGCACTTATTGAGAGCAAGAACAGTCCACTTATCTGGCTGAGAGGTAGCCCAGAGATGTGGTCTGGTCCAATATCCTGTCTCCTAAGCAAAAGTTCAAAAGGGTGAAAGGTAGTATTCCCTAGTGTTAGAAGAGTAAGGAATGTGTACAGTAATAAACATGCATGTAAGATGTAAGGTGAATCTGCTAGAGAGGTAGTCTGGACAGCCCTTTTCTATAAATGTCCAGAAACCAGGGTTAAAAATAACAAACAACAATTCATGTTTATGGATAAAAACTTCAATGCTGTAGGATGTTTTCCCCTTCAGAGACAGCATGTCAGTGAGCCTCAGCCATGCTCTGGTGCTGTCTGTTGCCTCTGGAGTCCCAAAGGAGCAAGGGTGAGATTCATGCTGTGTCCTTTCCTTTCAGGTAACAAACAATGGAATCACAACTCTAAAACACAAGGGGGGTAGCTGGTGGGTTTCATACAGGGCTGACCATGCAAAGGATACACAGCTTTTCATCATCCTGAAATGTGAAGTAAAGTTTCACAAAGAAGGGGTGATCTAGGCGTGACATCACATCTCGCTCTCTGGTTACATATGGGACTTTGTTCTCTTTTATAATATGACGTTTCTCCAGAATTTTAACTTAAGGCAAGAGAGAAGTGAGTAACTAACACTGGAAAAGGTAAAGCCACAATTTATAAATATAACTGGTATAAACTATAGTTTTTCCAAAATCACCTACGCTAGCTTTGTGGTCAGTCCGTAATGCTAACTTATGTCATAGACTCTGAAGTCAGCATAGAAACCTCTGGGCCCTACCACCACCCAACTTGCCATGTACACAAAGATGGCACAGCCCAGAACCCCACATACACAGCTCACTGGAGTTAGTACTTACTAGCATATTCTCTTGAGGTTGTCAGTTCTCGGGCCAGGACAACCTGGTTTGAGGAGAAAAGGGAAAAAACACACACTATAATAATGAGGAGACAGAGTCTGGTAAATTTTTGTCACCCTGCAAAGGCTACTTACCCATACACACAGTTTGAAGTTACTTTTAAATACTTTAGTTCCTATACTAACAAACCTATCAGAAAGCACTGCTCATGCTAATATGTCCTAATAAGTTAACAGTAACATAATAGTAACATTAACACGTAACAGTAATCTCCCCATTGTTCTCAGGTAAGCTAGTTACCAGCAGTTCTCATAGTACAGTCAAAGTATAAATTCAAGAACCAATAGACATGGTAATGCATTACCTACAATCTCAGTGCTTTGGAGCCTGAGGCAGGAGGACTGCAGTTCCAGGCAAATCTGAGCTACACAATAAGTCTCAACACCTCCATCCCAAACAAAAAAGAATTTTATTGACTGATATGTTCAAATACCACCATAAATGTGTACTGGGAATTTCTTCAGAAAATAACTCCATAAATGTCTTTTCAGTATAGGTCCTGCCCTTGACTTAAGCTTCTCCAACTAAGTGCTATCACACATTTTATTTGGTGCCATAAACACAGTTATGGCTATACTGGGTACAAAATAAAAAATTAAGCCATCACAAAGCCAGCACAAGAGCAAGCCCTTTCCAGCATGCCCTCCATGCAGAGCACACCTCAGTCTGTGCTCAGACACCATCCTCTTCAGCTGACAGGTCAAGGTTTGGCCAGAGCCTGCTGGTAGCAGCTTTGCCACAGAAGCTTTGCCCCACCATGGCTGATATACGTAAATGTGTTCCCCTAAACATATCTGATGCCCTTTGGATCAGAAAGTAAATATCCCTGAGAAATCTCTGGGCCTGGTGGGAAGACCTTCAGGAAGTCATAAGGCAGGTTCACTGGCTCCTGGTTGTAAATCACATCCTATGACAGACATGGTCCTGGAAAACACTATGAGCTACCCACCGCCATCAGGAATGAGGCTGGATTGAATGCACTCAGGGAGAAAAGATCTCAAAGATCTTGCTGGAGGAACATGCTGTATATGCATTCCCGGACACTAGGGTGAGAGGAGTGGGCTGGGAAGGGACATTCCTCCCTGGATTATGCATTTATACAATAACACATTCCTTCATGCTAGTTTCCTAAGTAGGAAAAGGGAAGAAGTTATGAGAGTACCTCTGTTGAGTGGAATCCCTCTGGACGAAGTATTTATATAATCTGTTTTCTTAAATTTAGAATCTTTTTTTTTTTTTTTTTCTGGTCTTTTTAAGATAGGGTCTCCCTGTAGCCCCAGCTGTCCTGGAACTCACTATATAGACCAGGCTGGCCTTGAACTCACAGAGATCCGCCTGTCTCTGCCTCCTGGTGCTGGGATTAAAGGTGTGCGCCAGCCACCATGCCTGGCTAAATTTAATATATTTTAACCAGGTTTCCCAAAGAACAGAGAGGGTCTTCTGGAGAATCACATGGGACATGCTGCCCATGTCACCTGCTCTCTAGCACCAGTTCCAAGCTCTGCTAACTCAATATTCTGCTTGATCTGTTAATCTGTCTTTTATCCACCCCCCGGATATCTAATTTTTTTTTAATGTTTTATTTTTATTTTATGTGTGTAAGCGTATTGCCTGCATGTATGTGAGGGCACTTGTGTCATGAAATGCCACATAGGTCAGAAGAGGGCTTCGGATTCTCCTGGAACTGGAGTTAAGGACAGTTTGTAGCTGCCATGTGGGTGCTGGGATTCGAACCTGGGTCCTCTGCAAGAGCTATCAGTGCTCTTAACCAGTGAGCGATCTCTCCAGTCCCTGGAAATCTAATTTTAAAGTGCTCACTATTTCAGGAATGGAGAGAAACATCAGAGGATAATACCTAGAGATCCATGGCTATAGATCCCAAACAGACAGGAAGGAGCCTCAGGCTTGTACTGCTTCCCAAGCATTTCATGGAATGGGTTCAAAATGGCACTAAGGACAACTGTGCCACTCTGGAAGGATGGTGCCTAATTTACATTCTTGTGAAGATAAATATAAAAAGAGTAAAACTGAGAAAAGGGAGAACTTCACTAGAATATCATTAGCAGCTGAGTGCAACACCCACACTCTGAAAACAGTTTCCTCTTCCAGCAAGGCAAGGCAAAGGCACAGGGAGCAATCTTCATAGTTGAAGGCTTTTTTCACAAGGCCCAATCTTCCTTTAAACAGAGTTACTCCACCAAAGTTACTAATTAAGATCTAAATCTTAATGTGTAAGGGTCACCACAGTCAGTGGTAATTAAAATGAGAATATAGAGGTAAGCTTTAAATATTTCATGTTCTTTGTACTTTAGAATATTTCATAAATGCCAGGCATGGTGGTGCACACCTTTAAGCCCAGCACTTGGGAGGCAGAGGCAGGTGGATTTTTGTGAGTTTGAGGCCAGCCTGGTCTGCATAATGAGTTCCAGGGAAGCAGGGGCTACAGGGAGACCCTGTCTCAAAAAAAGACAGGGGAGAGAGAGAGAGAGAGAGAGAGAGAGAGAGAGAGAGAGAAAATAAGAAAACAGATTCTAACCTGGCATGGTGGCACATGACTTCATGACTTTAATCCCAACATTCAGGAGGTAGAGCTCTGTGAATTTGAGGTTAGCTTGGTCTATGTAGTTCTAGGCTAGCTAGGACTACATAGAGAGAGACCCTCCTATGTCCCCCAAAACAAAAAAGGAAGGGGGAAAGGGAGGGAGGGAGAAGAGGAAAGGAGGAAAGGAGAAGGGAGAAAGGAAGAGGGGAGAGAAAAGAAAACAAATTTCACATATGGATTCTTGATGAAGGTCAAGTATAAGAAACATGAATATGGGGCTGGAGAGATGGCTCAGTGGTTAAGAACACTGACTGTTCTTGCAGAAGACCTAGGTTCGAATCCCAGCACCCACAGAGCAGCTAACAACTATCCGTAACTCCAGTCCCAGGGGATCCGACAACTGCTTCTGTCCTCCACGGCATTGTACGACATGAGTGCACTTACCTACATGCAGGCAATACATGCATACACATAAAATAGAAGTATTAAAAAAAAACACGAATAATTTAGGAACTCTCCAGGGTAAGGAACCACTAGTGCTACCCTAGAGCACCCATTTCAGACTGGAGATAGAACACAGGAATCTGTTTCATTGGAGGCTCTTTAGGACAGAGTATACACCCTGGGCTTCTCTGTGTAGCAACAGCCACTCAGCCCCCCAGGCCTCACCAGGCTTTCAGTATTCATATCTTTGCTTACAGAGTCAAACATGAGGCAGGTAATCCTGAGTGCAGCTTGACAGTAATGACACAATGTTTCGGTTTATGAAAACAACAACCTGGGTCCTAAGTCCCTGCCTAGTGTGGCAGTTTAGATAACAAAGCAAACAAAAGAGACGCACAAGAAAAGTCATTAAATGTTACCAAAAATCTTCAAAGAGATACTAACACTGATACTAACTTTTAATCTAAGGAACTAAAAAGCTTCCTATGGCCTATGGCCTGTCCAAGGAACACAGCATAGCCTGCCCATGCTGGGTTAAAATGAAATTGCGGTTTTAAAGCAACATAAATCAACAGATGCTTTTTTTCTGGCATTTTGGACAGAGTCTGGAACTTACCATGTAGACTAGGCTGGCCACAAATGTCAAAGAGATTCTCTTGCCTCTGCCTCCTGTGTGCTAGGATTAAAGGTGTGTGCCATCACACTCAGCAGGTTTAGATATTTTAACTCAGGTGGTCTGCAGGGAGAGACCACTCCCTCCAAGACTTCAGTAGCCTTCACAACAAGAGACAAGCCAGGAGGACCTGGAACAACTTCCCAGGAAGAAAACTGCCTGGAGCCAAGCCTACAATAGTCAGTGATCTCAAGAGAAACCTGCTCAATGAGCAACAGTAGCAGCAGCAGCACATACTCACTGTCGAAAAAGAGCCTTCGCCAAGAATCTTCCCAAATTTGAAATCTTCAGGCCGTTTCTTTCGAGGCTGTGGTGGTGGCTGGGCAGGATGCTGCAAAGGGTTGGTACTTGGCCGAGCTTCAGCTGTGGTGCCATCCATGGTGGGTCCCTGCCTGCTGACACCACTAGGAATGCCAGGGGCTGAGCCGGACTCTGTCTGAGACCTCACCATTGATGGAGACGGGCAAGCACATAGCACCACGCTGGATTGAATGGGAACAGTATCATACTGTGGATACAGAGGAAAGAGGTAAGTCAAGTGGCTCCCTCTTGAGTAGACAGACCCAAATGCAAGCACTTTATTATACTGCTGAAGACAGGGTAGCCCATCTGGTTTTGGGTGTCCACTTCAGGCACACTCCTCCTCCCTCTCTCTTTCCAGTGCTTACATCCAGACAACTCTTTACCTCTCCATTAGCACTGCATAAGACTCCAACCACCCCCCTCAAGGCCATGCTAAAACAAGCAGAGATAGCATTTCAAATTTGTAATTATGGAGGATAAGTAGATAAGAGTAATGATTAAATATGTTTACAATATACAGAGATACCCAATGCTGGCAAGACTATGAAAAAGCAATACTCATACAACTATGGCTGGCACCCAGAACTGCTGTTATTTTTAAAAAGTGTTTTTGGGAAAGTAATTTGGCAGTTGACAAAGTGATGAGAGAATAGTTGTCAATGAGACAGAAATATCATGAGGTCAAGGCCAGCCTGGGCTATACATTTAGCTGGGCATGGTGGCATGTATCTTTCATTCCAGCACTTGGGAGACAGAGGCAGGTAGATCTCTGTGAGTTTGAGGCCAGCCTAGTCTACATAGTGAGTTCCAGACCAACTGGGGCTTCAGGGAGACCCTGTTTCAAAAAGACCAAAAAACAAAAAAAGGAAGCAGAAGACAGGTGTGGTGGTACACACATCTGTAATGCCAGCACTCAGGAGGTTGAAGCAGGAGGCTCATGGCTTCAAAGGCATCCTGGGCTAGCAGCAAGACCCTGTGTCAAAAAGATGAGAGGAAAGAGAGTGGCACTGAGAAAGGATCTGAATGTTCAAAGCTAAATTGGCAGTATATAAAAATGTATCCACATCCAGAAAAGCCTTTTCTTCAGCTCTGCCCGTGGCATGTCCTCACAGCAGTAACACTAGCCTAATTATAAAAGTAAACAGGTTGAGGAGATATAGCTCAATCAGTAAACTCCTTGCTTTACAAATACTATGAGTTCAGAACCCACTTAAATAAAAAAAGCTCTAGCTGGGTGGTAGAACATGTGTGTCTAACATGCCTAAGGCCCTGGGTTTGATGATAACTAGCACAGAAAAAAAAAAAAATTCCAGTGAAAACAACAACAAAACAGCCAAGCCTGATAATAGCACATTTTTGTAATCCCAGCACTGGGGAAGTAGAGATAAGCAGATCCCTGGGGGTCACTGCCCCACTAGCCTAGTCTGCTTAGAAAGTTCTGGGCCAGTGAGATCTTGTTATAGAAAGAAATAAAAAGGTAATCTGCACTCCCCATATACACATATAAACTCACAAACACAAAAGACAACATAAAATAAACTCAGCATATTCAAGTTACCCAGGTACTGCGGTCTAATTACAGTCCTCCTTACTCAAGAACTCAGACAGCACTTATCTCAATATGGCCCTGAGGGCTGGGAATGTAAATATAACTCAGTGGTAGAGAGAATGCCCACCATGCATGAGGTCCTAGGTTCAATTCCCAGCACCACCTAAAAGAAAATTTTAAAGTACACAACTCAATGGGATCCTGGAACCACACTGCCTCTGAAACAACCCTGCCCTACAGAACAACACAGCAGGGCTGCCACTGGCCAAAATGTGACCCAAACACTAAAAACAGAGTGCTTAGAAATAAGCTGACCCTAAGAAAAGCCATGAGTTCATAATGATACACAAAGGTGGAGGGAAAAAAGTCTAACAATATAACTCTATCAGCTAAATAGACTGAACACTAAATTATTAATTCATGTAATTCCGTATGGTCACAAAGCTGCTTCTTGAGCTGTGTATTATTAATTAGAACAGACAGGGATTTTCTCTTTCTATGTAAATAGGGAAGGATACACAGAGTGAATGTAAAGAAGCCAGGGCTCTGGAAACAGTAACTATACCAAGTACAGGAGGACAGGTGGGCACACAGTGGCCAAGAGTCAGCAGAGGAAAGCTTAGCCAAGAAGAGATACCAGAGATACTCAGGAAAGCTTAGCCAAGAAGAGATACCAGAGATACTCATCTTGAGATCACCAAAAGCTTAACAAGAACAAAAGCAAATCTAGACAGAACATCCTGTGACCCAAACATGATGACTACAAAGGAGAAAGGAATAGCAGATGGTGAACACTGGCAGGTGCCTGGGCTCCTGAGGTAAGCTGCCTTCTGAAGGATGGGGCAGCAAAGCACACTCCCAAGGACTCTGCCCTAGCAGCCACCATCAACCCTGCACCTGCTCCATAGTGAGACAAAACAAGCTTTTCTGTGGGTCTGTTGAGGTCATCATCATGCCAGGCAAAGTGTAAGACTATGTATAAAAATATAAAGGAGCTAACCAAAAATATTAATGATATATGACTGACTGAGTGTAAGGGTTTAAGGAAATCTCACTTTCTTGTGTGCTAAGAGGTGTTCAAAGCCTCAGTGAAATCTTCAGCAGATATAGAATGTCAGTAAGTTGAACAAAAGGAATATACCAAGACTAGCCAAGTATTTTCCATATACAAAACTCCTTGGACAAGGGTGATGGCTTAGTGGGTGAAAACTCTTATGCAAGCTTGATGACCTGAGTTTGGATTCCCAGAACCCATGTAAAAGTGGGACACAATGGTATCAGTCTGTAATCCCAGAATTCCTATGGTGAGATGGTAGGCAGAGACAAGAGAATTAATTCCCCAGAAGCTCTCAGACCAGCTAACCTAGAATATGCAGCACAAGGGCAGACAAGGAGAGAGCCTGCCACCAACAGGTTGAAGTGGTAAAGGCTGACATCCAAGGTGAAGGCTGATATCCTCTGGCCCTCACATGTATACCATGGGATGTGTGTACTCACACAACCTTAGCATGGGGACACACACACATACACACAGAGTACATTTACATACACACACACACTAGATAAATGTTTTTAAAACCTTGGCAGGGCTGGAGAGACTAGTTGTTCTTGCAGAGAACCCAGGTTCAGTTCCCAGCACCCACATGGTGACTAACAACCATCCCTAACTCCAGTTCCATGGAGTCTAACACCTTTTCCTGGTCCCTGAAAGTACTGCATGCATGTGGCATATTTACATACATTCAGGTAAAACACTCATACACATAAAATTAAAATAAATAAAAACCTTGGATATAAAGTAATTATTCTCTCAAAAAAAATCACGAAGAGGGCTGGAGAGATGGCTTGGTGGTTGGGAGCACTGACTGCTCTTGCAGAGGGCCTGGATTCAATTCCCAACACCCACATGGTGGCTGCAAACCATCCTTAACTCCAGTTCCAGGGGAATCCGAAGCCCTCCTCTGACCTCCACAGCACTGTATGACATGGATGCACTCACATATATGCAGGCAATACACTCATACACATAAAATAAAAATAATAAACACTTAAAAGGCAAGAGGCTGGAGATGGCTCAGTAGTTAAGAGCACTTCCAGAGAACAAACCCCCACCCCACCTTCCAGTTTCAGTTCCCAGCACACACATGGTGGTTCACAACCACCTGTATGCACATATATACACTCAGGCATATACATACAAAATGTTTCCTAAGAAAATGAGTTAACAGTTTTTAAGAACAGATTTTAGAAACTAATACAAAAGAAAAAATGGCCAGGTGCACACCTTTAATCCCAGCACTCGGGAGGCAGAGGCAGGTGGATCTCTGTGAGTTCAAGGCCAGCCTGGTCTACATAGTGAGTTCCAGGACAGCTGGGACTACAAGGAGACCCTGTCTCAAAAAGACCGAAAAAAAAAAAAAAAAAAAAAAAAGCCAGGCGTGGTGGCACACATCTTTAATCTCAGCACTCAGGCAGCAGAGGCAGACAGACCTTTATGAAGTTGAAGCTGGCTTGGTCTACATAGTGATTTCCAGGACAGCTGGGGCTACAGGGTTTGCCTATCAGG